TGGAAAACCTAGCTCTGCCTCTACAGCTGGGTGGTCCTGAGCAAAATACTCTAAGAACTCTACGCCTCAGTTTCTCCCTATGTGAAGTGATGTGATGGTGAAATGAAGTGAAGTGATGGTACCTGCTTAATAGCATTATTCTGAGGATTAAGTGAGTTAATATTTATGGAGCACCTAGCATACTTCTTGGTACATAATAAGTGTAGTGTAAATGTTTAATAAATAAGTAAATAAAACGTTGCTGTTGAATATAAGTAAGAGGAAATGTGGTTTTTATTACCAAGTGACCTCACCCTCCTGTATTGAATGCATTGCTTCAGTCGCCTTGTTGTTTGCAGTGGCACCTGGAGCTTCAAAGGGATTCAGAGCGCCTGCCTACTATTATGAGGAGGAAACTGTGTTATGGAAAGAATGAGCTGGTAATTCTCTAAACAGAGAATAAACACTAGGAGTTCCAGGAACTTGGTCTTTGTTTGAAAAGGACAATTTAACATTAAATGAGCTGAAAAGATAAACTTACTGTAAAATCTTCAAGCTTTGAGATGACACTTAAATCTTCTAGAAAGTAAAGCAGCACAATAGAACATCTAAAAAACACCAGCACAGTTTTACCCTAATCTAAAATGTAATATGATCATGAGAAATAGTCATACAGTTGCAACGGATAAGCTAGTTAGACTACACCTTTCATTCATTCATTCATTTTTTAAGAACATGTTCTTTTTAAATTTTTTAACGTTTATTCATTTTTGAGAGACAGAGACAGAGTGTGAGCTGGGGAGGGGCAGAGAGAGAGGGAGACACAGAATCCCAAAGCAGGCTCCAGGCTCCGAGCTGTCAGCACACAGTCCAACGTGGGGCTCGAACTCACAAACAGTGAGATCATGACCTGAGCCAAAGTCAGATGCTCAGCCGACTGAGCCACTCAGGCACCCCTAAGTACATATTTGATGCTTGATGACTCAACATGGAATACAGAACAAATAATAAACAAATACATAAAGTAATGTCAGACAGTGATAAATAACAGGAAGGAAAATAAAGCAGGGTGGAGAGTGACAGCTGGGGCAGACAGCTTGAGGTATGGAAAATCTCTGAGAAAATAGACATTTGAACAAAGGCATAAATGAAGGCAGGATGCAAACAGTATGGATATCTTGAGAAAGAGCATACCAAGCAAGACTCTGAGGTCTGAGATGAAATACATTTGATTTGGTTTGTTCAAGAATCAAGAGAGCTAATATAATGATGCAAATTATCAAAGGGAAGAGTAATAAGACATCATTTGTGAGAAGCAACCAGGGGTCAGATAATACAGGACTTTATGGGCCACGTGTGGCTTCTTCACAAACATGGCCTTAAAATTCTTTAATAATTTTTCAGTGTAGAAGTGGGGTCTTTTCCCCCTCCCTTTGAATCTAGGTGGGTTTAAAACTCCTTGGTCCAGTAGAACATAAACAACTATGTCATTTCTGAGACTGAGTTATAAAAGAGGATGTGACTTCTATCTTATTTGGTGGAATAGTCATGCTTTCCTAAGGTTTCCATGCTGTCAGAAAATCGAACCACATGTAAAGCGCACATGTAGCCCCCTTTCCCACCCCCAAGAGAGCAATCGTAGACTTTGAATAATCCTAATCCACGTGCCAGACATGTGGCTAAGCCTTCAGATGTCCAAAATGTCCCACTGAATCCATGAGCATAATAAAATAGTTGTTTAAACTGCTACATTTTGAGTTCTACATTTTGCTACACAGCGGTAGTAATTGGGATGCCATGATAAGGATTTTTGGATTTCATGTTAAGTGAGAAATCTTTGGGGAGTTGAATTATGTGATCTGATTTGGAAAAGAGACCGCAAGAGGACAAGTATGGAAGCCCAGCCCAGCTGGGAATCTATCTAGGCAGGAGAAGACAGGGCCTGGGGACTATAGCAGCAAAGAAGGTAGAGAGCAGAGCACAGATTGGGGATATATTTTCAAAGTAAATCTAACCAGATGTGCTGATGGACTGGAAATCGAGTGGAAGGATGACACAAATCAAGGATGACACAGGGACTTTGGCCAGGGCAAGCAACTAAGTGACTAGAGCTGTCACTTACTGAGCTACACACATTAAAGAAAGAACAAATTTGTAGAATAGAAATCAAGGGTTCAGTTTTGAACATGTAGTGTTTCTATCAGATACCCAAATAGATGGGGCGCCTGGGTGGCTTAGTCGGTTAAGCGTCCGACTTTCGCTTAGGTCATGATCTCACGGTTCGTGGGTTCGAGCCCCACGTCGAGCTCTGTGCTGACTGCCAGCTCAGAGCCTGGAGCCTGTTTCAGAGCCTGTCACTCCCTCTCTCTGACCCTACCCTGCTCACGCTGTCTCTCTCTCTCTCTCTCTCCTAGAAATAAATAAAACATTTAAAAAAAAAAAAAAGATACCCAAATAGAGACACTGAATAAGCAACTGGAAATGTTAGCTTGGAGCTCAGGAGAGAGGCTGGTTCTAGAGTTCTGTATCCAACTCTTAAGGGTCTCATTTTAGGAAAGATACATACAAACTAGAGAATATTCAGAAGGGGACCAGGATGCAGATGCTTCTGGAAGTCATCTTGCTTAAAAAAAAAATGTTGAAGGAACCAAACATAGATTGGTCAATAATATCCATAATGTGAAGAAATATATGAATCTGTAGGCAATACCATTAGGACTCATCTTTGAGAGTAAGATATCTGCTTTGAAGGACTAAAAATCCAGTTCTCACTTCCATTGAAACTAACACAAAGTCCGCAATCAACTTTCCCCATAGAACTAGACACCAGTACAGAGATGCTGACCTAAAACAAAATTCCCAAACATTACAGGAGCTAGACTGAATAACATGATGCTGTGTGGGTGCAAGATTCTCTAAACAAACAGCCAAACAAAATCACATAGTCATGTTCCCAGCAAATGGCATCCTGGCCTATAAAAATTTTACCTATTCATATGTTATCCACTTCTGAAATCTCCTTAGTGCTGTGGTACAAAATTATTTCAGTATTACTAACCAAAATATTCTGATTTCTTTGTGTTTTCATCTTTTGCATTAATAGAGGTCACTTAACAGGATGATTAAGTGGAAGAAATCTATAGCTGGAATTACTGGAGCATGATCTTAACTCCAACACTGGGGCAAGTTATTTACACTCTGCCCTCGGTTCCCTACCTCACTGGATTTATTATGGGGAATAAATAAGTCAGTAAGTGTAAAGCATTTAAACTACATAGAACCAGCTAAATAAGAAGTGTTCAACAACAACAACAACAACAAAAAACTGTTAGCTCTGTTCAGCAGCAGTCAACATACCCCCCTCTGTGAATGCAAGTTCGGACCAGTTGTTTATGTTGGGGTTTTTGTTGTTGTTGTTGTTGTTTATTTGTTTTTTAATTCATTCAGGCATCCAGAACTATCAGGGCTTTGTAAGGAAGAGCTTCAAAGTCACAGGTTTGAACTTACCCTCTCACTTTGCAATCACTGGAAAAGATGCTTTCTGGAAGCCCACTCTATACTGATGTCAGAACTCCTGTCATTCAATTCACTGTTTCCTCTTCCGTTATCTTTCACACTAAACCCATCTGGATTTGAATGCGTACTGGGAATGAAAAGGACAGAATCACCCTGTTATCCATGAAAATGTACAACACGTCAAACACATTGCTTAGGCAGAGAGAAACGTATTCTGAAATTACCTTAAACTTGCAGCAGATTTATCCTCTCCACACAGGGATGGGGAATGGAAAGGACCTGAGCCTGAACGCTATTTGAAAAGAGGGGTGAGAGCAGCAGTTAATATTTCACGCTCAGATATCAAAGCTGACAGAGAGGGCACAATGGCCCTGGACTGGGGTGCTCCAGGAAGATAGCGTTGAAACCCTGAGGGACGAAGATGTTCCAACTGGAACCACAAGGAAGTTACCAGGGGCAAAAAGCAGCACGAACAGACGTGGCCTCCATGAAACATGACCATCGTGCCTCCTTCTGCCTTCATCTGTGAAGAAATTTTCCTCTCTAATAAAAAATAAACAAGTCTGGAAAAATCGGTCCTTTGAAGTCCCAGACCAGATCAGGCGCTGAATTTTCCTAACGTCTCGGCATGAAAATCGACTAAACGTTCACAAGGACACTGAGACTGCTGGGGTGCTTCCCCTGGGCCCTCAGAATCCAGCCCCTCTTCCGCAGGGAGGGGCACAAGAACACCCCACTGTCCCCCGGATCGGGAAACCTCTGCAGCTTCGCCCCCTTGGGCCTCTGTACAAATGGAAAGGACCAGTGTCTCCACGAAGAACCTCGGCTCAAAGCTCCCTGAGTCAGCCCCCCACGCTCTGCGACTTGGACCGGCCTGGCCACTCCTCACATGGTACCTACTAGGGCTATGCCCACAAAGCTTCTTCCTCCACGTCCTAGCCTCGCCTTGGCTGGAACAAGTCGCGATGGCAATGGCCACCAGCAGAAGGCCACAACCGCTGGCCAAAACACCTGCCAAGACAACGCGGAAGCCAGACTCCCGCCCTGCTCTCTGCGCCCCTAGGCGCGTCCCTATCCTCCCTCCTTTGGCCGCAGCGGCGGCGACGGCGGCTGCACCAGCACCACTTCTCCGCCAGGTGGCGCTGAATACGTGGGCACTAGGGGCAAAGCTGCGGTGCCTTGGTCCGTACCACGACGACGGCTCCCTGGGGGGCTGTGGGGACAAGCGGCGCCGCATAGGCAACTCACTCGTGACCGGGTGTGGCGCTAGCGCCCTGGGGCCGCCGCCGCTACAGAGGAGTGTGGCAATTCGCTCTGTGTTGGGCCTTCGTCAGCACGTGGGTCCCCAGGAAGCCCAGGGGTGCGCCCTGGAGCAGAGGCAGCTGGGTGACCGGCCGAGGTGCGTGGTCGCTCTGGCCCTGCACGTGCAGCCACACCACTGCCCGGCCCCTGGGCTGCATGGAGCCGCCGTCGAGAGCTCCCAGCCGCAGCTGCAGCTCAGCCAGTCACTCGCGACGAAAGCACCGCCCTGCGCTCGGCGTCCCGGCGGTGGGGTCCACAGAGATGTAGGTGGACACGGCGTCTTGGGCGCGACCCTCTTCGGCCTCCAGCAGTCGGTAGGTGGCCTGGCCTTCGCGGCCCAAGTAAGTGCCAGGCGGGCTATTCTCCCGCACTGACACGTCGTAGACGAGTCGTGTGAAGAGTGGCACGTTGTTCTTGTCGCTCAAGCGCACCGTGTAGGGCCGCACGGTGCATGGGGTCGGGGGAGGGGGCCTCTGTCCTCCGCAGCCCTGCGCTCGCGGTCCAGGGACGCAGCGGTCACCACCAGGTAGCTGCCCGCGTAGGCCGGCTGCAGCCGGAAGTGCTCGTGCCCGTAGAGGGCGCAGCGCACCTGCCCGTTGGCGCCCGAGTCTCTGTCCGAGGTGCTGACCAGCGCCACCAGGCTCTCGCGCGCCGCCCCCTCTGGCACCAGCGAGATGGCGCCGGCCTCTGGCGTCCCAGGCCCGGTCGGCGAGGTCGCGTCCGCACCCCCGAGAGCGGCGGCGGCGGCGGCGGCGAAGGGAGAGGCGGCGGGCGCGCCTGGGGCGGCCAGCGGGGTGATAGTGATGTCCGGAGCGTTGTCTTTGACGTCGCGGATGCGCACGATGACTTTGCAGGTGGAGGCCCGGGGCCCGGGACCGCGGTCCTGAGCCCGCACGTCTAGCTCGTAGGTGTCCTGGCGCTCGTAGTCCACGGGTCCCGCCAGGGTGAGCCGCCCCGAGCGCGGGTCCAGGCGGAAGAGGCGGCGTGCCTCGGGCGGGGTGCGCGCACCGAAGGCGAACACCACGTCGCCGTTGGGACCCTCGTCGGGGTCGGCTGCGTCCAGGTCCAGCAGCAGGGAGCCCACGGGCGCGTCCTCGGCCAGCTCCACCTCGGCCACGGCGCCCTGCGGGAAGGCCGGGCTGTGGTCGTTGGCGTCCAGCACTCGCACGCTGAGGGCGGCCGTGGCGGAGCGCGGCGGGCGGCCGCCGTCCTGGGCCACGAGCTCCAGGCTGTAGGCTGCCTGGCTCTCGCGGTCCAGCTCCTGCAGCAGCACCAGGTCCGCGCACTGGGCGCCGTCCGCGCGCGTCTGCAGCTCCACGCGGAAGGGGCTGTGAGGCTCGGCCAGGCGCACGCTCTGCAGCCCGTTGGCGCCCACGTCCTCGTCCACCGGCACCTCCAGGGGGATGCGCGTGCCCACAGCCGCGCCCTCGGACACCTCCACGGGGATCTGGGCCCTGGGAAAGCGCGGCGCGTGATCGTTGATGTCCCTCACCTCCACCTCCACGTGCACCAGCCGGAATTGCTCCTGCGAGAAGCTGACCACGTCGAAGGCCAGCACGCACTGTGGCGCTTGGCCGCACAGCCGCTCGCGGTCCAGGCCCGCGTCCCCGACGGTCAGCTGCCCGTCGCCCTCGCGCACCCGCAGCAGCGAGCTGTTGAACTTCATGAAACAGAATTGGCATGGCACCTCGAGCTGAGAGATAAGCAAGACATAGACCACCAATGTCGATACCGTGGGCCTCTTCCTCACAGGTGCGGAAACTGACAGTTGCAGGGCAAAACCGGGGCACAAGCTGCAGCCACAGAAGCAGCAAGGATTCCAGTCAAGCCCAGCACTTAAGTGTCAGAGAGAAATCTGAGCTTCCGATGAGACATCTTTGTTTCTTAAAGAGAAAAGAGCCAATCAAAGTTCTGCGCTAAGACTTCCCGAAGTCCCTCAAGCCCTCTGTGTAGGCAGTCAGCAGACACTTGCCCTCCTAAATACTTCTGATCACTAAACCCTCTCTGCTGTGTAATCGCTTTTCTGTGCTCCAGGCCTAAGCTTGCCTCTTCTGAACCCTACTGGGGAGGTTACATAGAGAAGAATGTGCAAGCAAGCATCCATCCTTCTGGGCCAATCTATAGAGTCTCCAGGCCTTGGGTCACGTTGTTCCCCTAAAAGAGCTGGCAGAAGGGCCTGGAAAACTGAACAGTGGCCAGGCCAGTGCAGGGCATCATTAAGATCCCTTCAGAGGTTTGCACTGTAAGAGTGCACCCGCTTGCTTTTCCAGTGTGAGTGATTTCCACTTTGATGGTAGGAGCAGGGAATCTGCAGCCTCTGTTATCCCTTCCTAAACACATTTACATATTCCTCAGACAGAGACACAATTACTCTTCTCTACCATTTTTAAAGCAATGCCTCTATGCATCTTTCGCCACTCACAGTTATCCATCTAGTGGGGTTATCATTTCCTGTATTGAAAGATTCGGGGGGAACAGCTTCTCCAGAGTCAGGCAATGTCTAATCAGGGAAGCACTGTTTTCCAAAGTAATCGTTTCTAAATAGCTTTTCTGTAGCAAAGAAACCGTTAGTGATGAAATTTCAGCCCCTTCATCTCCTTTTATGTCAGTAATTACTTATATGTGAGGAATCAGTGTCAGTCAGGGAGGTTTGTCAACCAGAAACCACTGTAAGGGATAGTTAAGGGTAGGGAAAAGATTTAGGGAAATATATTGCAGTCAGTCTTGTTAGAAAATTGCTATAGACCAATTATTTTTTAAAAGCCCTTGGCTGAAGAAAACCATGGGTGGCCTGATAGGCTGAAGGCTAAAGAAACATTAAACCATCTGTCAAAAGCACAATAAATAGTCTTGTGTTGAGTTCTCTTTATGTGTGAAATGTTCTAAATGCGAAACGGTCCACATGTTAATGATGACATTGTTCCTCGTGCCACGGAGTCATGATCAGTGCAGTGTTCTTTAACCAGTCATCTTGAATAAAATCAGGGAACAGACTGAGTTATTAATATGCCCCAGCTATTCTTGGCTCTTACATGATCTGTAATGTTATTGTTTCCTGCAGGGACATGTCAGTAAATGACTACTTTTTTTCTTTCACTCTTAGGAGAAGGTTGCATCTATTTTAATGCCAGGATCCATGAATCCGGTTCTGAAACTGAGCCACCTTTGATGAGATCATTAATTTGCAGGGATTTTAATTTAGTGGAACATTTGGCAATGACTCTAATTATAAGTACCAATAACCCGATGTCAGAGAAGTTTGCAGTGAGAAGCATGAATTGATTTGGGTTGGGTACTCTGAGATCCTAAAAAGAGAAAGTACTTCATCTTGTTTACTGAAGATTTTTAATTTTGCTTGATGAGGCATCAGTCTGAGGGAGGGAACGACTCTACTACAGTTCAGCTGGACCAGATTCCTGTGAAGCCAGTATCCTTACTGGCATAGAGATGGTTTCCTTTCTTTCTTGGCAGTAGGTATCCTGAAGAAGGGCCTCGTTATTCAGCCTCCGGATCTCAAGGAAAACAAGAGAATCCCGTCCTCCATCCAACTTCTTAATTTCTAGATGCCCCTTAACTGAAGCTTGAAAACGGATTCAGCAGATGCCTTTTAAAAGGCACATGCTTCCATACACATTAGCCAGGAGAGGGACCCATTTAACCACAGTCTGAGTCTCATTCCTTCCTCTTCTCCCTCATCCCCAGCAATCTCTGCCAGGCTTGGCCTCTGCCAGTCTTCAGCATTTTTGTTGCCATTCATGATGAGCAAAACTGCTCAGTATAATGGAAATGAAGAACAATCATGGCTTTATCCGCAGAGCATCAAAAGATCCGGATAAAATATGAAAAAGGCAAGCAATCAAATACATTACCTCCACAATGCTAAACATCTGGATACTTATGTTTGGAAACATCCAGCTATAATGTTTAAGTGCTTGATTGCATTTTCCCTTGCGTTTCCTCCAGCTGTTTGGCAGCAGGCAGACCATCTATGATAAGGAATATGCGATAGTTAGTGAGTCATTATTAACATTAGCATTGTTTTCCTAGTAAACAACCACCTTATTAAAACACTGCTTTATGAGTGAAGGACAGCTGGAGTTTCAGGAAAGAGACATTTTCTGAGGCAAAAATCAGTTCTGTGCCAGTAGAGTGACAAGCCGCATAATATAGAAACTGTATGATCTGTCCCCCTAGGGATATGTCATCAGGAAGCTGTGTTTACAGCCCTGAGCTGCTGGTGCTCTCATGTTCCATTCTGTTGGCTCTGTTAGATAAAAGTCTGTCTCAATATTAAAAGCATTGTGGCAGAAATTTGGTTTATCTTGCTCGTTTTCCCATTTGCCAGCATATTGCCAAACCGTTAGTCCATAAAATGTAGTTTTGATCTCTGTTGGAGGCAAACATAAAGCAAAACAAACAATGGGAGCAGAGGACTACCCCCACCCCAGGACAGCCAAAATGTGGTTAAAGCAGCAATTTGGCCCTCTTGCTCAGTTTGGTTTTAAAGGGGGTATGGTAGGATTCTGGTAAACTCCCTACAGTTTACTTTCATTTCTAAAACAAAAGCACCAGATATACTACCCTCCTCTCCACCCCCCACCCCCCACCCCTGGAATGCCAAGAAGCCAGATCTAGAAAGTAGTATTTCCATTCTAATTATTTCAAGAAAGATTTTCTGTTTTGCTGAGCACATAACACCAGTGTGTTCCTTTACACACTAAAGCACACTGTACATGAACTAATTTTCATCATGAACATGGGGGAAAATTTGGTCCCTTAATTCAGAATAGTGTCTGTGCCTTTGCATATTTCCTCTTTCTTATTATGTGAAATTAATGATATATGTTGGGGGGGGGTGGAATGAAGCTATAGTAAAGTCCCTGATGTGCAAATTTCACTAGACCATGGTGTCCATGTATCGGCATAAGCATTAACTTTCACAGGACCTTGAACTATTACTTTCCTGACCCAGAAACAGTTTTTGTGCCATTGAGAACAAATCACCCTATGTAGTATATTGAGACCCATTTTCATTTCTCAACTGAACAAACATCCTATAGATGAATGAGCAAAATACTATCGAGTGCAATGTTGCTATCTTCAAGGAGTTAAGTTCCAGAAATTGAAGCTATGAAGGCTGTTTGAAAGAAAACAAATCAACCTAACAGCTGGGTGTTTTTTCTTTTTAAAAATTATACCTTGAAAAAACTAAAGTTAATCTTTAGCAGTATGAGCCCCCAAAGCAGAGAAATTGTTTTAAGTTATCACATAAGAGGTACCATTATCTCATTCCTGTTACTCCACTGTGTAATCAATGTGTTACTATGTCTTGACTCTGCAGTCATTTATAAGAAAACTTATCAGCAAATTGCTGGTCCTTTTTGTGAAATGATTTCAGGGAAAATAACTCAGCCCTGAAGTCAGCCAAAATAATGTCTACAAACATAGCATAGAAACAAATGATGTTTTATCAACTATTTAAGTGCTTTAACCTAGAAAACATCAGAGGGAACCGTGATAGAGCATCAATACTAACTAATCACAAATTCCCCTCCCCTTAACATAAAACAAGGATTTAAATGATACAATGTTCCCTTAGAAAAAAGTTTCCCGTAGGATCATTATGTTAGTAAAGATATCATCAAAACTATTCAATCTTAAAATACTACCTAAAACTAGTTTTTAAATTGCTGATTTTATTAGCCTAGCTGTATGAAGGACAGTAATACATAATGAAAAATACCTTACCTTTCTGTTTCAGGGATGCCTCGAACCCCCAAATGAGCCAATGAAATTGACTTTGGTGCTTGACTTCGGTCATTGGCTCAAGGATATACTTTATATTCTTGTCACCCTCTAGAGAGGAAATCTGCCCCCAACCCAGAGATTGTAGCAATGCAAGAGAAGAATAAAAGAATGAAGACAGAGAATAAACTTTTTATCTGTGCCTTATTTTATCTTCATCTCTCTTCCTCTTAGCTGAACCTCTCTATTTCCTGCTCTACACAGACGCTCATGCTCCCAGTAGTCAGAGCACTTTCAGGGCTTTTATCAACAGATATTTGATCAAGTATTGGTGATACAATAAAGCTCACAGCTTTGTAGAAGAAAATACTTAAACATTAAAAAAAAATAAAACTACCAGAGTTCAGAGAAGGTCACAAGTGCCAAATGACATGGAGAAAGTTTTATCAAGTGCAAACAAGAAGTGATCTCAGAGTTTCCAGGTAAAATCACAGGCAGCCAGAACTGCCAAAGAAAGATAAAACCTGGAGTGATGTGAACAAGCTGTGCAGAAGGACAGGCACAGAGCCTTTTGCGGAGACCTAGTAGACTAGTTCATTGGAGTAGACAATTTGAAGACACTATGAGGAAGGATTATATTGGCAATAGCCATTGTGTGTGGTTTTCCCTTTTCCAGATGGGGTGGGATTTCTTCTTTTTTTTTTTTTTTCATTGCAATTCTTTGTCATTAGACATGTCAGAAGATGTCAAGTGTATCAGATGAGTTGTCAGATCATGAGCTCTTATACCCAACCCTAAGTGGGAGCAATGCAAATCTTTCTAAGATCCTTTAAGCTTTCTTAAGGGACCTGATTAAGTCACCAACTGGTGGGAACAAAGAATGCCCTAGTTAACAGGGCCCAACATGCAGGAGCAGAAAGTTTGATTTATTTATCTTTGGCCTTTTCCCTCCAGCTAACCCTCCCTGATAAATGCAGCTATCCCAATATGAAATGTCTTGGGTCCAGCCACACCTATCCGTCCCTTGTCCTTTGTCTCTCAACCAGCCACTGGACATCTTTGTTGACTCATTTGTCTCTATAACACTGCTGTCAGCCTACAGCTGAAGATTCCATCAGTTGACTCAGCCCCTCCTTCCAAAATCCTCTTCCCTTCTCCTTTTAATCCAAGGCAGACGAGGCTCCCCCTCATTCCTGAGAATTCACCTCTTATCTGTTTCTCTTGTTCCTGGCCGCTTTAT